TAGTTTTAAAATAACAATGTTTATGACAAGTCCTTATAATGAAGGACTGTAGGATAGCATGTGCAACATTCTGAGACCTCTTAAAATCAGATAGCTCAGATCTGACTCGATCGGAACAAAATTAAGATCTAGGTGGTTCTAAAACAAATGGTCCTGGTCTTGCTATAACATGGGACTATCTATGCCAAATAGGAACGAACACAAGGATTGGGTGGCATACAGGCAAAGAGGCAGCAGGAGGAAGAACATTTTGTCTAGGAACCCACCCAATTCGACTTGTGTGACAAACCATCGTTTTTAAAAAACCGACTTCCTACATTTCAGTGTATGCATATTTGCTGGTTATATTGCCAAACAAAATATCTGAGACGGAAAGCAGTAGGAAGAATGTTTCATGATTCCTTTAACAAGTGCCTGCCTCCCAATTTTATTGACTTGACTTGTGAAAAGCTGCAGAAGGATCTCTTTAAAATGGGTGAATGGTCAACCAAATGATGATGGCATATGCGTCATTTTGACTGCATAATCACATTGTGTAAATCAGCATTTCTCAACCTTGCCAACTTGAAGATTGCGTGTACCTCAACTCCCAGAATCCCTCAGCCAACACGCTGATGTAAATATTGTGATTATGAAATTTCATTATATTCTGATACCTGACGCACTTATGGTTTAGAGTAGACCACCTCCGTAGGTTTCCAGATAAGATTTTTCTTATGCTTACTATTTCATTACCAAGATCCAGTTCTTTTTTTACCTTTTAACCTCCGTGGTAACTGTTCTGTATTTTTTAAGCTCAGAGGTGCTTTGTGTGCGCCTTGTTCCAGTGAAAGATTTTTACAGAATATGCAAAAAGAGCAATAAAACTCCATCAACCGTTATGAAAGCAGATGCATGCTTGTGCAAAAAAGCAAACAAACACAACCCTCTCTTTTGTTCTGCTCCCCAAAATGTCATGCTAACTTCGAACCCAACATGTGTGCTGGGGACAAACACAGATATGTTCAAATGGATACAAAAGGACTGAATCTATTGTCCAGTTACTGAATTCTCAAGATGCTCCCTGCTTAAGAAGTGCAAGCCCAACCATGGAAATCCTTCTTAGATTTTCAAACTATTTCAAAATAAGTATTCACCAGCACATGGCCCTCTTTCTGCCTGCCAATGAATCTATCCCAGTGAATGGAAAACAAAGCTCAGTCTGATGGAAAAGGAGTGGGGTGAGTTTGGAATACATCTTATATTTTGCAGCATAGCTGTAGCATTTCAGCAAAAATTTCCAACCGTCAAGAGGTGAATGCAAGATTCTGAGAACAAGAAGAGATTTTGGCACTAGATGACATGGTTATGTTGGAAACACAGTGTAATGCAAACAGGGGGGAAATGTCCTTTGTCATCAGTAAAGTGATTGGCTCTTTCCGATCAGCATTTGTGACATTTGTGCTACTGCTTTCAATGGAATTCTCCGAATTGAGGGAAACAATGAAAAAAGAATGGAAGAAGTTGAATATCTTTGTCCTGCTTTGGGGAGGTGGCGCATTTTAAGTTTCATTTATTTGAGAAACAAATATATTCCTTGAATTATAAACTAATTTTCTGGAAACACCCTTCTTTTATTGATTGACCATAGTATCTCTGATTGTATGGTAAGATGAAAGAGCTGATCAGGGAAATACTTAAGACTATAATTATGAGATGGACATGAACCAAGAAGATCATAGGAAGCTCTCTTTCTGGTATTCAGGATACCGCTTATAAGCGCTATGTGCTTAGAGCTCAAAGCATTTTTAGAGACCACCCCACACTCTCACTTTATGGCCTGTTTCTGTTGCTCCCCTCTGGGAGGAGGTTTCGAAGAATTTATAGCAGGACTACCAGATTCTGTAACAGCTTTGTTTCCTAGCCATCTGTCTGGTAAACTCTCCATGTACAGGTATACATCTGAACTAGACTCTGTATTTGTCTATATTTATTTATTTATTCTGTTATTTTATATAGAGTATAAAGGAGGTGGTGACCCTTTGAGAGCTGTATGCAACAAAATTTCACTTTAATGTATGCTGATTAGTGCACATTCAAAGTGACAAAGTTATTATTCTATTCTATTTGTATTATTCTATTCATGGGATATTTCCCTTGCTTTTCTGTTCAATACTCAGTACCTCTCAAGCCCAAGTCAGCCAAATGATCTAGAATGCTATCTTGGTCACTGAGAAATCCAGAACTGTTAGGATCATATGTTTTTGATCAACCTTTCTGCATAGATCATCTACTAAGAGGATAAAGTAGACATGGTACCAAAACAATCACCTCCTTTACAACCTTAGTCTTCTCAATCATTAATATTCCACTTTTCTAGTTTTTTTAATACCATATTAACAGTTCACATAACAGTGATAAGCCTTTTTTATATTTGTATGGTGTATGCGTGTATGTGTGTGTGCATGAGAGAGAGAGAGATAATTTAGATGAGAGAATTTAGATAAGTAAAAAAACTTTGGGTTTACTCAGCAGGATAAGAACTCATTATATTTTCTTTCTTTTTTTGCAAGCCATGTCATTCCCACAGGAAATAAGCAACTGTATTCTCAAAACAAATCCTCTTAACTCTGTATCCATTCCTCTCTGCCTCCCTGAACTCCCAGTTCATTAATTATGAAAATATTGTTGTTAATACCATAATGGGTATTATATGAAATGTCTATTCTGCTTAATTGTTGTCTTTATTATGGAGTCGTTCTATTTTTCAGGCAATGTATATCCCTCTTTTTAAAAAGGAGACTCTTTAATTCTCACAGTGTCATTCAGAGAATGACTCACATTCCTTACATTAATTGTTCAGTTCTCAAAATATAACACATGCAGGGTGTGTCTCCAAGGGGAAAATCTACTGTACTTGCAGGACATGTTGGGAAGTGTTTCACACAGAAATTTGTTTTTCTGTTATTTTGCAAAACATTAACTCCTTTTTGCCACTTTTTGAAAACGGGGCAGTTATTTTTCTTAACACAGCCAGTTTCAGCCACAAACAACTAATTTCAAAGCAGATGGAGGCAGCAGGTGAAATTATAAGCTTTATCAAGTGTCCTTGAAGAGTCTTAGTCATGTTACTAGGACCGTGGGAGAGACACAGGAAATATCCCAACAGAGTTTTCCTTGTGAAAGAAGCCTTCTCTAAACTTTGAATGGAACACCAGAGGAAGATATATATGTCATCCCATTCCTATAGGCTTAGTTTATGGTCAAAATAAATCCTGAGGCTTTTTTTTTTTTCTTCAGATGCAAAAAGAAATCATGCTTGCTTTCTTGAATGGAAAAAAAAAACATACTGAGAGAAGGAACAGTTTTGTTTGTGAAAATGGATCACATGAAAAATATTAAAACATTGTCTCCCGCCTCCACAATTATTGCAGTCAAATTCAGAGCAGTCTCCAAAATTGCATTAAATTCATAATACAAAAAAAAAAACACCCACCCATGTGGCATTCAGGTGTTTCCTCCATGTTACGACTTATTAAATTTTAAGTAATACATTAAATTTTAAGTTATGGGTTAATTGTCTTGGTGAAAGCCACAGCAGTTGGCCCTAAGTTTCAAAAGTTGGTTTGCCATATATCACAATGAAAGTTTGGTGAAAAGCATTAAGGCCATTCTCAGGCTTCTACTTCCAGTTGTACAGAATTAGTTGGGTAGTTATTCCGATCTGAGGAACCATGATCCACGTAAGAACTGCTGAATGTGCTCTTGGTGTGATACCTTCAAATGTGCTTGTTGCATTTGTACCACCTGTCGCCACAGATGCCATGTTTGCTTTGGTGTTGAAGTTCTAAAAAATGCCTTCAGTTGATTATATTACGTATTGATGATTTGCCCCCTGCTTCCCCCTTAGTTCAAGCATGAGAATATGGGGCTGAGAGAATGATCTTGAAGTGCTCAGAGATGGCGGATAGCTAGGCTGGTGTAGCGTCAGGTTGCAACTAATAGAATAGCAGAGCATATCAATAGAAACCAGAAGGTCAGAAAATGCATTAATGGCAACCTATCTTGCTTCTCCTCAGTGAAATATAACAAACATCGATCTTTATGTACTGATATTTATAAACATTGATATTTATGGGTACTTTAGATCCAGAGGTAGATTTACCTGGCTGACACATATTCTTAGGCGTGGTATGATTAGGACTTAGGATGAGGTTTAAAACCCCAAACCATAGATTAAATTGTAGTTACAATGGAATCCCTTAACACACATGGATTATACTCATGAACTGGTTTTAGTTTACATGCCTTAATCATGATATTGAATGCCATTGAAATCTCACGTTGGGCAATTACCACCCACAAGTGAGGAGTGAATATGGGCCCCTTGGCGTTGGCCATTTTTTGTTCCCCTGATGTGTGTGTACCAATGTGTGTGTAGAGAGTGTGTATAGTGGTTAACGATGATATTTAAAGACAGAAATGCAAATGGAAAACTTCTGCTGGCATAAGATTATGGATGCAATACCTCTGGAAGAATTTTTCCACTGTTCAATCAGTCTTAGGATGAAATATCAATCTAGAAGTAACATTGTCTTACAACATCCCATAGGTGATAATGGGTATATTAAAGAGAGACATTTACCACGCCATCCAATTTCTTTCATAGTAATTGGTGGAGTATGCTGCTGACTGTTTTACAGACTTTTGATAAATGTCATAATTTGAGCCATGCAGGCCCCAAGTATTTCTGAACGATTTCTTAGTATGACTGGAGTCAGATTTATGGACCATATTTATTTGTGGTTCAGTTTAATGGCTGAAAAAATGTACAGCCAAAGAGTATTGCTAGCAGTGCAGAAAGCGTTTCACAGAATCAAGCATGTTTCTCTTCAGATTTGGCTTGTTGGCATTTGAAACTATAATGAAGAGTATTGTGCAACATTTGGATTAAGTAAAATAAAATAATGGACTTATATTTCAAACACTGGTATTGGTTTTTTTTTTGTCTTTTTCGATAGGAGGAGAATCTATTCACCAAGGTGTCTGAATATTTTCAAGGTTCAGCTGAAGATAGAAAATGCCAGATTTCCCTGACTCAACAGGAAAAACAAGACACTCTAAAAAAGTTGTAAGTGCTCTTCCCACATGCCCCACAGCATGCACTTTTTATATAACCAAGATGTGAAATACAAAATTTAATAATGTCAAAGCAGCTGTCTCCTGTGCTCCATAAGTATGTGGGGGTAAAGTTAACATTGAATAAAATCAACTTTGTAAAAATAACGATTGGCTGGAACCAGCAGCAAAATTAAATTATAATGGAAGTTGAGGGAGAGAATTGATCTCAGGAAAAAATAGTAGCCTGTGCTTTGGTGCTCCCAATTGTGCTAAATTGACTTTAAAAAAAAAGAATTTAATTTTGTTGGGTAAAAGATAGATCTAATTAAAACAATTATTTTAAGAAAAAAGGGAGCTGAGATCCAATGAGTCCAACTTACCCTTTTCTTTCAATAGCTGTTGGAGGGATAGAGGGAGACAGTTTGTAATCTTGTCTGAAACAACTGTTCTAAGTACTAAGGGCAACTCATATTCATAGAAAGGGTTAATTCCACCACTACCCCATGCCCAAATTTCTCTTTCCACATGTCACTTAATTGTACATAGATGGTAGTAGTAGTAGTAGTAGGATGTCTATTTTTTAAAAAGTAAGTAGACAGATGGTAGAAGTAGTAGTAGTAGGATATCTATTTTTTAAAATCTTACTACTTTATTTTTATAGATTCCAATATATTGTGCTTGTTTCTAAAGAACTGATTTGATTAAATGTTGACTTCATCACAAAAATCGATGTTTTTCAAGATATAAGAAAATTAGCACTCTTCTTTTATAATGGAAGATTTACTCTTTGGTCCAGCTAGATGGTAGCACTTATCCAATCTTGTCTGATCTCAAAAACTTAGTCTCAAACCTGGTTAGTATTTGGATGGGAGACCATCGGGAAATGCCAAGGCATTTAATATGATTAATATGAGAAACTTAAAGTAATTGTCGTGCTATAACAATATCTATTATTTTTAGACATCAAAGTAGAAAAACCACTAACTGTTGAAAAAAAAAAAGGCAACATGTCCAAACACACAGACTCGAATTTGGTGAGGAGGGAAGTAGAACCCTGCTCCTCCTATGGAAATATTTTTTACTGTTGGTAGTCTCATTGTCTTCATCCTACCACACCTTTCCAATATTTAGGCTATTGGGATGGTCTTTCTTATCCAAATCTTCATCTGCTGTGGATTCCATTAGCCATGCTGATACTACAGGTCCTCTGGTGACACAGGGGTCTATATCCACTCTGAACGTGCCCTTCAATTATCTAATTCCACATTATGGACTTACTTGGACATTTAAAACACTGAGGAGAAACTTGTTTAAATTGTCTCTACTGTTCAAGGCCCATCTGTTACATAGGCAGAAAGGATCTTTCTCCAATATTACTTGTAAACCAAGGAATGTATTCCTCCATGGGTTATGCTTAGCCCCTCTATTGTTAGAACTAGGGATAAGGAATGAAGAGCTTTTGAACTTTAAAAAAAAATGATTTGAGGTGTTACAGCAGCTCTGTTTTTGAGTAACTCTTAATTTATTTTTCCTTATTTTCTAGTTTTAATGTTGTAAGTTGTCTTGATTATCCTGCATAGATGGAAAGATGTGGTGTAACTTGAATGATAAGAGCTGTAGAAATAATTATATAAAATATAATGGGGTCCCTTGATAGTTTGGAAATAGTTGAGGGTCCTTTAGGCTGAAGAAAAGACAATGCATAGTCCTTCTATTTCAATATATCTTGGTTCAAAATAAAAATGCCTGAAGCTGGAGCCACGTTCGTCTTGCTGCAGCTTAGAAATAACTAATTTATTATGACATCAGCTTTCATTAATTAGAAACGTTCCATGATAAATTCTTTAATCTTTGAGGAACTTCAAGACTTCTTTGTTGATCTTTGTAGCAAAAAAACATTAAAATGATTTAAACTTCAGTTTCAGTTATTGACTTTTTCATTTCTGGGAAAGCTAATCTCACAATTCAAGATCCAGAGTGCTATTTGACTGTGCCCGCGGTTAACACTTAGGCTGCTTAAAGTTCAGTTGTGTGTAACAGATGGTGCTATTTAACTTCATATTGCTTAAGATTTTTCTTTTTCTACTTCTGCTCCCCAAATAAACACCCAGCACCTCAGTTTTCTGATTTTTTTTTAAAGTTTGCATCACTGGTTGTTTCTTACGAGTGTTTCTGATGGAGTTGAACAAATCACAGCAAACCGGATGCTTGTTTCATTCACTCAAGTTAACCAATAAGCAATGAGCCATTGGGAAAAGGTACAGCCTTTAGATTCAGTAACTGATCACAGAACCTACAGTCACACTCTTATATTGCTGTGTAAGAAATTTGGCCTATTCCACCATGGCCAAAGGCTTCTGCTTAGTAGCATTTAGAAAATGTATAACGTTAACAACCAAATTCCATTTTTGACTCATCTGTCTACAGAATATTCCTACAAACGATTATCCAGGTGTTTTTTTTTTAATAAACTTGAAATGAGCATCAGTGTTCTTTTTAGGAGCAATCAATGGCTTCCTTTCTATTGTTCTTCCTTGAACTCCATCTGAACTTCCTTGAACTTCACCACTGTTTTTCTGATGATAGAGTCATGATGACTGAAGTTACCTAAGGCCAGGGAGATCAATAGATCTGTCAGTGTTCTTCTGGGATTTGTTGTGATACTGTAGACAAGTTAACCCTGTATCCTTGCAGAGGTTTTGACCCAGTGATCACTCTTGGAAAGATTAGCTATTGTATCTAATCTTCTCCAACTCAAGACTTCGATTCCAAATATAATATAGAACAACAGAGACCCAGACTTTTAGAAAATAGCTTTTCTGTTTTTTTCTAAATTCTTAGGCACCTTTACCTTTTTATAGAAGTCTTCAGAAATGTCTTTTGAACAAGGCTTGATGTGCCTATAGACTCTCTGTGTTGAACATCTCACAGGAACAAAGGCAACCAGGCTTTATGAGATTTATATAGGGTACCAGGACAGCCCCAAATCAGGAGGTGGCTTACTGGCTAGGCAAGCAAGCTCCAAGGAGCTATTGCAGATGTCCCGTGTTATGACAACGGTGTTATTAAGTTTTCATCTTCTGTTAGCCTAGTAGCTGGAAGATACATGTTGAATGTGTAAATACATACATACATCTCTAATATAAAATCAAGGCATCATAAGGCACATATCTTTTGTAATTCAATATATGCTGTGTTCGTGAGAATGGAATGCTAAATACCGTAGAGTATCAAGGTGTTGAAAAAAAGAATCCACCCCACTAAATGGAAGCCAAGTTTCCTTTCTGAACGTTTGCACATCTTGCTGTGTTGGAAGCCATCACCTAAGGGAAGCATTTCAAGATGACCTACATTGTGGGTTATAACATCTGCATGGAATATCAATCTGTGCTGTGGATTTAAATTTTAATTCCTACAGAGCTCATTGTTTTACTAAATATCACTTCCCCCGGGGCAGATGCATATCTCTTAATCTGATGAATAATGGGGAAAAGTCATCAAGATCATTTTAACATTTCCAGTAGTGGAAGTTCTCCAAATGTCTAAAAACAATGAAGTGAAGTGTTAAGACATCTGCATTATGAAAATAAAATGGTTTTAATTTTATTTTTTTTAATTATTATTTAGAATGAAGAGGGCAACACATGCTAACAAGAAGAAACCTCAGCCCAGGATGGCCACCACGAAAGTATATCTTGGCTCACCAGATTCAGACACGGAGTAGGAAGAATGCATTTCAACCAGTTCGATGCCTCAGCCTGAACTGAAAATGTAGGCTTAAAGCACAATCAAAAGATTTCATAAATACAGCTGAGAGCAGCTTGGGACTTCCTGTTTCAGAATGGGCAATGATGCAGACTGGAGACAGCCAAGCAACGCTAACAGCCAGCAAAAACTTCATTTGTGGAGTGGTTAGACATGACTTCTCTGCAGGAACCCTCAGTGGTGCTATGAGTCAGCACTGCCACAGCCAAACCAAAGTCAAAGGGTGACTGAAAGAACTGAAATAGTGCGCCGAGTAGGCAGGAGCAAGAGGAAGAAAGATGTCTCCAAGGCCAGGATCACCCAGTTCCCAGAGGCAAGCGTCCTACTCGGGGTTCAAAGCCCTCTTCTGGAGAAGTCCCCACCAAATCCCACATCGTGATCCAAATAAGACTTGGCAGGATTCACGTCTGATGGAGAATTGCTGACTTAAATCAAAAAACTTCCCCTGAGACTGGTTTTATGAGAAGTGCTACAACGTTGGGTCACCAAGTAGTCCTTAATGTTTCACTCCTGAAATATGCCAAGCCAAGAGAGAAAGGGTTTGAGAGAAAGGCAGAGATCCAAAAACAGAGGGAAAGGAAAAAGGTAAAACCTACAAGAAAATCTGTGCCTTCTTCTGGTGCTCCCTTATCCCTTTTACATGTGTCACATGTAACGAACAACTGGACTTTGCTGAACATTTGAAAACAATTCCTGAACTAATTAAGAAGTCTGAGATTTTTAGGGGCACTGAAATAAGCAGGATTCCGGTTGCATGGGAGTCAAGGATAGCTCCATAACTTGAATCGTAAGGAATCCTTCTTAGTTCTCTTTCCTTGGCATATAATTGACTGACTTGAAGTTTCTTCATCACAATGGCAGAAATCTGTTTTATGGTCCTTTGTCTGCTTAGCTCTTTTCATAGTCCTGTTTTTATTTAACAGTACAGTGGGAAATAAAGACTTTCCTTCTGCAAAATGTGTTTTTGCACATCATTTTTTCCTGTGTCTTGTCTGATAAATCACTTTTCCTATTCAAAGGTTATTTTGAAGAAATGGTCTATGCGTAAATGAGTAGATTTTCACAAGGTACGGATTGGAAGGAGAGCATGTGAATCAAAGATTAAAGAATGAAACCATTTGTGCCTCAAATCCATCTAAACAGCCTTTTTTCTAACTATAGTCCATTTGAGGCTAGCAACTTTGCTGTTCCATTGACTCATTTTTCCTGTTGCAATAAATGTTGATGAGGAAATTAAACTGCACCAGGATTCCTTCAAGCAGGCTTAGCACCTTAATAGCTAGAGAGCTCATTGTCTAGGACAATTGATCCTAGCAATAATATCCTTGCTTTGTTTGTTACTTGTGCACATCTCTTTTTACTCTTTCTTAAGTGTGGGAGAATGTTATTTCCCGATACAATTTCACAACAGCCCTGTATAGTAAGCCTGAAAGAAAGAAAACAAATGTCCCAAGATAAATGAATTTTAGGAGTAGTGGAATTTTTGATCTATAAATTCACTGTCCTCTTCGGTACTGTGAACATACCACCATCCTATAAATGTCAAATGATACTTTTTTTAAAAAAAATAATCATATAATTGTTTCAATACAATAATTTAATGCTTTTTAAGATCCGTAGTATAAACTGTTACAAATCTTGTTTACTCTGCATTTGAATTAAAACAGTACTGATACTATTTAAAAAGTAAATAAACTTCACTGTAGGTCCCTCCCACCCATTTTAAAATTCCTTTTGTCCCATTAAGAGATTCTCTGCAGTTGTCAAGATTCATTGACTGGTTTTATTTTATGTGCCTTAGCATGTTTGAGCAAGCAAAACTGAAATGCTTCAGCATTCGTTTCTTAAATAATTTAAACCCTTCCCATTTATACCAGGGAGAGTGAACTGAACTTAGAAAAGCACTTCCTTATAGAAGGAAAATATCTGATCTCTCTTTCATGTACGTTACTAACCCAAATATATTATCCAGGATATAATTGAATCTACTTTCTGGCAGAAAGTAGATTCAATTCAACTCATTGTTCAGAATGAAAGACACGTGCATTATAAAGTTTAAAAAAATAATGAATCAATAAAATAATTGATTGGATTTAAAATATATTGGTACATGTTGATAAGCTGCTTTGAAAGCTAAATAGGCCGAAACAATTAGAAATTCAGAAACATAGCACTCAGTTTTTTATTCTTAGCTGTCAGAAAGGTTCAGCCATTCTACAAATTTGTCATACAGAATGAACTATATGTTTCTGGGATCTCTTCTGCCCAAAATTGGAGCATGGATTGCTTAAAATGTAGCAAGATTTGTGATCATTCTGAAAGAAAGTATAGTTTGCAAGACCCCACCAATTTCTACTTTTAGGAATCTGGTTTTGTTACCTTAGTCATCAAATACATCAGATGCAGATGCTTCATCCAATGTTCCTGCCATTATTGCTACCCTTCCTTTACAACTGAACTCTGAATTGACCAAATTCCTTTTCTTTGGTTTTTGTGTTTTTTTTATCTGGTGGTTTTCCTTATCCCCTTCATGGTACCCATTCATGTCCCGACTCTTATCACCAATTTTACTGGAGGTTTTAAAAAGAATTGTAGGAAACCAAATCCGATATTGTTTCTAACTATAGCATGTTTCATTGTAGTGGAATAATAGTCTTTTATTCAAAAATATCAATGTGAGATTAATGAAATTATAAAGACGTTGAATATGTCAAAAGGAGGAGGAGAAGAAAGAGGAGGAGGAGGAGGAGGAACCATAAGCCACTTGGTGCTACTTCTGGCAAGTGAATGCAGTTAGACAAAATCACATCTTGGCCCTTTATTGAGGAATAGCATGGGGATACTTTGGTTTCTTCCAAAGCTTTAACACCACACGTTGCCCAAAACATCATAATTACATCATAATTCTTCCAAGGACTTATTGAGTTGGGAAACCCGGATCCTGGCTTGTTGAGCTACCATTTTTCAAGATGATACCAAGAAGGTCAAAGGTTTGGAGATCTCATATGATACAATAAATGGTGTCCCATAGCATTAGGACAAGTCTAGGTATGAAGAGGTTGTAAAGCGGCAGGTGGGCTTGCATAGCTAAGTATATTGGAATAGAGAGCAATTAAGTGGATAAGATCAGCCGTGGATGGGGAGAAAAAGAGCTGTGACAGTTCTTAATAAAAAAAAAACCAACCTAGAAACCACAACATAGATGAGTGGGTGTGCACGGGTAATCATCAAGGAATGCTGTGGTCCAGATGTTTCTACAAGACAAGGGTCTGCCAGAAAACTAAAGCTCCATTTTGTTGCAGGTCAGCGCCTTCTGAAATTTGGCGCCAAAAAACCTTTGAGTTCCAGTGCAAACATAACCTATATGCTTGCAGGCAATTCTGATGCCAAACTGATTCTGGCTTAATCTTGGCAAATTAAGAGCAGTGTATGAAGAAAAACACTTTCTAAGAACATTTTCTGCAGCAGTTTGCCATTCTTTTATATACATTAAGAATTGTTAAGGGATACGTATCAGAACAATAGCATAATATTGTTGTTTCTAGGGCATCCTGAGGAATCTGGAATTAAATACTCCAGAAAGAGAGTATTGCCAAGTTCAATGACTCCTTCTGCAAGAATAAACAGCTGACAAATGCAGCAGCTTTCATATTCCTTCACTCAATTTTCCAGTAGTGGGGGTTGCCATACAGTCCCGTTCATTTTAGCATGACTGATGGAAGAGGTTCCTTAGGCAATAACACTGACTTAACTTGTGATAAAACCTGTTTATTTTAATACAAGCATTTGTACACTACCTGATTTCCACGGAGTGTTGACATTCTAAAGGATTATTAATTATAAAAGTTGTGGAGGGTTCATATTAGAGAAGTAACTTGAGGGTGGCACCATTGCTGTAGAAAATGCCCAAACCGTAATCTCATTTATTTCAATCAACAGCATGGACTAGAATCTCTTTTTTTTTTCCTCCCTGTAAATGCTCTCTGGAAAGATGTTTCTCCATCTTGGCAGAGGCCCAATTTGAGCGACTTGCTGTGCAGTCTGTCGTTGGGGAGGGGGGGGGGTGTTTCTTTGCTCTGAGTCCAGAGAAAACTTTGCTCCTGGTTATGCTGGTGAGCCCGTCTGCCTATGGAGACGCCATTTCAAAATTTAGTGTGGAAAGAAAAACAATCTCTCAAGAGCATGAGGGGTGGGGTAAAATCTTTGCAGAATATTACTGGGCTGCTCTTGGCAAAAATCAGTCAACAGTGTGGGAGAAGAAAACTTGCTGGAACAGAAGAACATTAGAAGATACCCGCTGGGCCAGGTCAGAGGTCCCGTTAGATCAACACTCGGCTCCCACAGTGGCGAAAGGAATGCCAGTAGGAGGACCCAGCTATATGATCAATACAGGCCTCTTTTAAATAAAATTAAAAAAAAGCCAGCAGAATTTATGAATTTAACACATCTGCTTTGTATTTAAATTCCATTTTTCTGTTGCCAAAAACTCTCCCTCTTATAAGATAATGTAGCCTCTCCAAAATCTGTGGGTTTCTCGCTAGTCTTCATTAACTTGCATATTCTAGGCCCGAGCATGTGCAGAGTTCAATTTGAGAATTGGCTGAAAATTATGGGGGTGGGGAGAAATCCTCTCTCACCCATTACAACCACAAAGGATGAGTTTCGAGTCTTAAAATTGGGTTACATAAAATGTTGTGTCCTCTTGGTTTATATACAGTACTTATTTTTAAAAAAACTATTATGCTTTGGGGAGGGGGCTCTGATAGCATCTTTTCTCATTCGTACTACTTGTTACAGCAGCTAATTCTACCCTTTGAATGAAGGATCTGTAGGCATTGTCTACATTATCCAGATGTCTCCAACCTTGGCCACTCTAAGACTTGTGGACTTAACTCCCAGAATTCCTCAGCCAGCATAGCTGCTAGGGGTCTCCAACCTTGGCCACTTTAAGACTTGTATATCTGACTGAGGAATTCTGGGAGTTGAAGTCCACAAGTCTTTTAAAGTGGCCAAGGTTGGAGACCCCTGATCCAGAGGACCTCATGCTTTCCTGGAGAGGAAGATATGAAAGTTATAGATTAGCAAATTCGAGTCCCCAGTCACTATAGTCTGCTCTATGCCAGCTTTGTCATCAAACAGCATCCCAATAAATTTAAGAGGCACTTATTTTCTTCTCAAATTAAACCAAGCTGTTTGCATCAGATGTGGAAATGCATAAACTTTAGTCAGGAGAATTTAACTTTCATTTGGACAGAAGATTCTCGTTCTCGGTACTTAGCTCTGCTTACACTGAACTCTTGTCTATTCTGTGTTTGTGTGTGTGTTAGAATGCTTCTGCTGAGCTAATTGGAGGGCCAGTTTGGTCTAGTGTTTAAGGTACAAGGTTAGAAACCAGGAGACTATGAGTTCAAATCCTACCTTAGCCATGAAAGCCAATTGGATGACTTTGGGCCGGTCACTCTTTCTCAGCCCAACCCACCTCACAGGGCTGTTGTTATGGGGGAAAATAGGAAGCGGGGGGTGTTGGATATGTTTGCCACCTTGAGTTATTTGTAAAAAATAGTACAAGTGGGTTATAAATAAAAGTCCTTCAAGCCACAGGAATGCTACGTATCACACAGAAGGCCCATTTTTGTCATGAAAGAGCTGTGCTGTGTTGTGCTCCTTAGCTGAAGGGTTCAACACTGAGAAGTGAGCCTGTTCCTCCAGCATGGGGCGATTCCTTGGCTGTCACAGCAGGCCTGGGACAACTCGCCGCAGCCAACTTGCCTAAGCCATCTCCCCCTGGCTTCCTCAACATGGGACAACTCGCTGCGTAATAATTCCAGGCAGGATAATTCAATAAATGTTATCCGTCGCTGTTTCTTTGATACTATTTTCATTTTTGTCCATTACCACAAACATGGTAATAATGTCGAAGAAACTGTGGCAGATAAC